CCCCAGTGCTCTCAACGCAAACACCCCTGCAGTTCCCCCAGGCGGAGGCCTGATGCCGTAGAGGGGCCGCAGGCGGGGCACAGGTTCTATCAGACCGAGGCAGCCGGGGAGCCCCTGCCATGCCATCTCTCCGGGGGCAACTCCAGCTCCCGGCTGCCTTTGTGTCTCTCCTCGTGCAGCACCTAGCGCAACGGGAGCCCCAGGCACTGCCGCATGCAAGGAACAACAGGGTGGCCGACAGAGCCCGGCCAGCCCATGCTGCTGGGATGGGCGGCAGGGGGAGTCTGGCTTTCCATGTGCAGCAGGCCCCACACACACAGAGATGCCCATGGGACGACCGCCTTCCGCAGGGGATCCAAGGAACATGAGCGTGGCCAGGCTGGGCGAGCCCAAAGGCCCATTCGCCAGCGGCCAGGCCGGGTGCCCCAGTGACCAGGCCACGGAACCGTCCCTCCCGTTGCCCATTCCCAGCCCTGACAAACAGAGGCCAGGCACACTATTCCTCCTCACCCTGGCTAATAGCCGTTAATGGACCTAACCTCCATGTTCCTATCTTGTTCTTTTTTTAACCCTGTTATATTGGCCTTTACAATGTCCTCTGGCAAGGAGTTCCACAAGTGGACTATGCATTGAGTGACTTAGCCTACAGACCTGTCCTGAGCTGAGACAGATGCTATTTCAGCTAAGGGACTGAATATATCCTCAGTAGATCATGAAACTGAGACCCCTTTTCCCTCCAAGAATATGATGTGTCTGAGGAAACATGGTTCAGCCAGCGATGGGAGGAGGATGGGAGGATGGAGTTTTAGCCAGTCTCTGGTTATAATTTGAGATGAGCCAGGAATAACACTAGGTATAAACTATCAAATGCACCCCAGCCTCTTGGCAGAGACTAGAGCAGGTTTCTCTTTTTAATGGAGACGTGTCAGCATTCCACCAAGGCGAGTTTTCATTTCCATGCACGCATCTTCATTTTTATAGGGCAAGAGAAGGCCTGTGTAGCATCTCCGGTCTGCTCTCACAGGCCTGCATTGTCTGCCTGCCACGTCAGACCCGCAGTACACTGGTACCATCACACAGCACCGCACAGGGACCCAGCGCCATGTGAGCAAAACGGAAACCGCTGATGAGATGGAGGGTGGGGGAAGGGAGCAGCTGCCCTGGAATTCCCCGCAACTAGAGACAGTTTTGTAAATTAGCAAAGGGGTTTGGAGATCAGCTAGCACCCAGGGCTGCCAACTCTTGCCATAGTTGTCAATCAAGGCCCACCTCCTGGAGCCATGGGATTAGGTGTGACAGTTCTCATTTAGTTTCTCAGAGGACATTTCCAGTGGCACCCCCGTGCAGATAGCGGAGACCGCCCCGGGCACAATCCTGTGGCCCATCGAGGGGCAGGAGACCCGCTCCCACAGGGTCTCCGTGCAGCCTGGCTCTGCACTGCCCTCAGCACGGCGGAGCGCGGGGGCCGAGCGCGGGGCTTTAACCTCTGCCCCACATCGGGAGCCTGGTCTCCGTGCAGCCTGGCTCTGCACTGCCCTCAGCACGGCGGAGCGCGGGGGCCGAGCGCGGGGCTTTAACCTCTGCCCCACATCGGGAGCCTGGTCTCCGTGCAGCCTGGCTCTGCACTGCCCTCAGCACGGCGGAGCGCGGGGGCCGAGCGCGGGGCTTTAACCTCTGCCCCACATCGGGAGCCTGGTCTCCGTGCAGCCTGGCTCTGCACTGCCCTCAGCACGGCGGAGCGCGGGGGCCGAGCGCGGGGCTTTAACCTCTGCCCCACATCGGGAGCCTGGTCTCCGTGCAGCCTGGCTCTGCACTGCCCTCAGCACGGCGGAGCGCGGGGGCCGAGCGCGGGGCTTTAACCTCTGCCCCACATCGGGAGCCTGGTCTCCGTGCAGCCTGGCTCTGCACTGCCCTCAGCACGGCGGAGCGCGGGGGCCGAGCGCGGGGCTTTAACCTCTGCCCCACATCGGGAGCCTGTTTCTCTCTGACAAAGCACAGGAGCACACTGCCTAGCTCAGGGGGTTCAAGCGCTGGGCTCGTGGCTGCAGGGGTCAGGCGACAGCTCCCTGTAGCAGGGAAAGGCTGGAGACGCACTTGGAGGGCACAAAGCCAGAAGGCAAGTCAAAGAACTGCAAATGGGTTGGTTCTGCATCGGCCAGGCCTGGGATTCGGAAGGCCAGTGGCGGGCCAAGCTCCTGCTGGGACTGTCGGGGGCAGGGGGACAAACTCAAATGAATCAGCGTTTGGAACAGGGCACCTCTACAGCTGCAAACTTCGCTCAGGTCATGCAGAACCTGGAGCCAGGGCGAGAAGCCCAGCCAGGCCTTCACGCACCACACAGGCCTGGACCACAGCAGGCACAGCGTATGGAAGTGGAGGCAGCTATAACACATAACATTCCCCATCCTCCTCCCCTGCCGGAGCTGAGAGAGGGGCCCCCCCAGCCGCACCAGGAGGTAAAGAGGCACCTCTCACCTGCCCCGCACCTGCTGCAGTGAGAGGGGACGTCGGGGAGGTTGTACCCCAAACCCCATCCCAGATCCTGAACCCCGAGCCACAGCCTTCGTTCTCCACCCCACGCCTTAAGCCCCCTCCCACGCCCTAAAGCCTCAAGCCCAGCTCCACCCCTCGTCCCCCCAACTCTGAGCCCCCTCCCACATTCCCACCCCACTGCCCATGTGCAGAATGAATTTTGGTATGTGCACCAATCTGGAGGTGCTATGCTGCACATCACCTCCGTGTGGCACGCCACCTCCACGCTGGTGCACATCACTCTGTTAATTCCGTGCATGGACATGGGCGCCTGAGTCCTTCCGAGGCCGCGGTCTCTGTGTCCTACATTGCTGCTCGGGGCCCCTGTGACCAAGTTTTCACTGTGCTCAGCATCCAACAGTCCCACGGAGAGCCGGGGAGCTGCGCAGGGCTGGCTCTGGTGAGAATCTGGCCTCTGGTGTTTCCCACCGGGGTACAGCTGCTCTAACGCTCTTTACAAGCCTCAAAATGGGCTCCGGGGAACTTGCTCCCTGCCTCCCGTTCTGCTTGGACGGTGTGAGCAGCACCGGATGGGGCCTGGCACTCAGCCCCCCCTCACCGCTGGTTCGTTTGCTGCTCGGGGGGGTCGTTCCGAGGGACTCTGCAGTCTCTTAACTCGGGACACCCCGGGGTCTATGTGGCACCTAGGAAGGAGATGGGCTCGCAGCCAGCCCAGCCAACCCA